GAGAAATTTCATCCTCCATGAAATATGGTTGACATTTCAATTCACCATAACCTATTTGCAAAGTATTCATTTGCTTCTGACTTTATGCATGTCCAATAAAAGATTTCCATTTTATGATCCATTAAAAAAGATGAAAAAATTAAATAAAATTGTGAAAGACATTTGCTGGAAGTAATAAATAATTTGACTCCAATTTGCACATACTGAAAATTAAACTGGTAACTACTCAAAAAGTTATTAAAATTATGGTGACTTAAGATATTTTGAAATCAAGTGCTACTATTTAATACTCTGCAGAGCTATTAAAAAGTTAGCCTTATGAATAATAAAGATTTTAACTTGAAAAAGGAGGTTTCATATTTGTGAATAGTTTAAAAAGATTCCACTTCTAGTTAAGAATATATACGTAAATTAATGTTGTATCTAAGTATACTTTAAAGTGGTTAAAAGATTCTCAAATTAAATAATTTAATTTTCAATTGCTCAACATATGCATATAATTTAAACAAAAATCGCAGTCTTGATGACTGATAGATTTCTGAAGGAAAAAAAAAAGGTTTATTCCAAGATAGGCTAAAAATCATACTTAAAGTTGTATTATAAATATTTTCAGTATTACACTAAAAATAATCCCTTTTTAATTCTTTTGTGAGCTATAATAAAATAACAAAAGATATTGGGAAATTACCACTTAACTTTTAATGATTTTCATCCAAAAATGTCAAAAATGTTTTAGTAATAATAAAAACTATAAGTAGTCTCTCTGTCTGGAGATGGCCTGCCTCTGCTTTAAATGTAATATATTCCTTGCTTGACCCAAAAGTGTCTCACTCTTGAGATGGCTGGCATTCTCTTTTTCTTTTTGTTTTCAGTGCAAAATTAAAGATAAGTAAAAAGCAAAGACAAAAAATAATTTTAATAATATAAAATTTAGAAGCATGTGAGAGGATTTAAGTACTTCTATGAGGAATATTCCCTCCATGATCATAGAGTTGTTTCTCTTTTAACACTTTTAGTTACCAAAACACTTGCTGAATAGTTCCCATTTTTACAGAGATCTTCCTTACACTGCACTGAAATGTGCTTCCCTTTACCTATTACTTTTTCTTCCTTCTTTCTTTGTAGCAATAAAGAATAAATCAAATCTTTCACATGACAGAACTTCAAATGTTTCAGGACAGCTCATGTGCCATAATCAGATCTTTTTCCAGTACTGTAAGCTGTATTTTATTTAACACTTCCATACTTGGCAATATCTTCTTGGCCACCCCTACATATACTAGAGTTAATTATTGTTCCTCTGTGTCAAGAACTGTATATAATCTTAGGATAGAGTTTCAATGCAGATTAGGTGAACTTATCACATTGATAGGTGTCATCAGAAAGCAATATACTATAAAAAAGAAAAGATAAATGTTCCATCATGGGGGTAGGAGGTCTTCAACTTTAGCCTATTTCACCAAGATTCTAATGTGTGTAGTCAAAAAAAAGACATAACTAATGTCCTAGTGTACGCAATTTAAAAGAAATCAAGTCTCTTTCATCACAAGAAATGGAAGAAAGAATAAAGTTGTGGTTGTATCACTTGCTGCTAACACAAAGGAATTAGGAACTGCAGAGATAAGTGTATATATATATATATATATATATATATATATATATATATATATATTTTTTTTTTTTTTTTTTTTTGAATAAGAAGACACTATGTTAAACACAGATTTAGCAAACCAAGAAAGATAAATAAAATTCATCAATTTGATTTCAACCAAATAGACTAGGCTTCATATTAAAAAAAATAACAATGCAGAAGAAAATTAAAAGATTCTATTACTAAGTCAGGCTCTAACCCCAAGTCAGCCACACTGTTCATCTCAGTGATCCTTTGGTATCAGATGCTTGGAATTTTCCACATGCACTGATGTTCCACCACTTCTTACTTAAAACACTCTGTCAAGTGTCTTCCCACACTGCCTTTTAAGAGAACTAATACTATCACTTTCATCTGATTTAGATATTTATTTCATATTTGCCAGAAGATTCTGGCCAATGTTTTTGAAAGCACATTTAACTATACCATATGCCTCCTTAAATCATCTTTATCAAACAAGCTGTAGGATAAGACTCTGGTTCATTCTGTTCTGTTTTTCTTTCTTCACAATGTGTTTATGTATATTTACCCAATTTGTTCTGTTCTCTTTGCCAAATTACAGGTTTGAGATCTCAACGATTACAGAGCAGCTGTGCTATTGTTGATGTCTCACACGCACACAAAAAGGGTCAGGGAATAAGCCTACATCACAAGTACGTGTGACACCTGTGCATTAAATTGGGGCTTCAGCCCTGAAATGGGGAAGAATCAAAGAAATTTAAAGAGATCATCCTATTCAAACCTAAAATAGGTGGTTTGGTAAAAGTGCACCACTGGCATAAATAAATTTCTAAATAATCCACAGATTCTTCTGGGTAAGACAATTTGTTTAATCACATGGCTTTTTAAAAGCAAAGTATGTCTTATGAAAGAATTAGAAAAGAACAACCACTCTTCTACCACCTTTACCTTCTTTCTGTTTAACTTCTAAGAATTTGTTCATCCTAGCCTAAACATCTCTATCAAATAAGGAAATGGAACAAGCATAGATCTATCTCAAAGAAAGTTCTTCAAGCCCTATTCCAGGTATGCTCAGCAATGATATTCCTGGATAGCAGAATCCCAGATATCTTTCATTTCCATTTACTATACAAAATCCATTTCTGAATGCAGGCCTTGGTATGTCTTTGCTACTGTGATACATTCTTAGTCCTCATTGCCAAGTGAACCACTTCATGTTTGCTTTCTTATAATCTCAAAATCCACAAGCACTAAGTTTTTAAAACAATAATCCTAAAATAAAAAAGCAATTCAGGGGCTGGGGATGTGGCTCAAGCGGTAGCGCGCTCGCCTGGCATGCGTGCGGCCCGGGTTCGATCCTCAGCACCACATACAATCTAAGATGTTGTGTCTGCAGAAAACTAGAAAATAAATATTGAAAAATTCTCTCTCTCTCTCTCTCTCTCTCTCTCTCAAAAAAAGCAATTCAGGATGTAGCATAAAGATAAGAAAGCAAAGCAACTGATAGAGCAGGCTAATGAGATGAGGCACATGTCCACGAAGCTAGCTCTGAGACCATGCATCTGGCTTTGAGGCTGTCTGTCTAGGGTTACTTTACCAGTGTGCTGTTAATTATTTAAGTGACAGAACAGGGGGAACCATCACCACATCTGTCACCCTCACACAGGAAAAACCTTCACTCATTGTTGGGCCAGATGTGTTTATTTGAAACATAGACTAACTAGCTATTTAATGGGTTTGAATCCTTAGCCAAAAGCTAATTAGGCAAACATATTAAGTATCAGTCACCTTACAAGGCTAACTGTTTTAGTTTGTGTTGATTTTAATCCAATCTCACAAGAGCCCATCACCTACAAAAATGTCTGAAGAAAATTCAAGACAAAGGGAAAGAACTAAATTACTTGCAGTATACTAAACAGGACAAGAAATGATGTTCCCAAATACCCAATACATGAACAAATAAAACCTTCCAAGATGGCCCCAGTGGTATCCTGTGCTTGATACTCACCCCCCAAAAAGGGGAAAAGCAATTCTTTTAGATGGATTTTTATCCCAAAATATTCTCAGATGAAATATTATATCATAAGCTAAACAAATGTTGATTTCTCATATCTGATATTTATTGTGCTGTATGTAATTTTTTTAAATTATATCTCCAGTGTATTTAGCCTCTTTACAAATCATTAAGGAATATCAGTAGCCTCTATTGGCACTATATTCAAAAGGAGACTGTCCCCCAAGGCAAATTCTAGGGGGAAAAAATTCAATGCCTGGGACAGAACAAGCATATTGCATTTTATAACTACTTGGGAGAAGAAATTGAGCTGCCTTCCTTGAATATTCACTATTATTAAAATGAGAGTGTTCTGCTCTTTTAAATGGTATGTCCTCCCTTCAAAACTAGAATTTTTATCATTTTTCTCCTACTTGATATAGGCTCTTCCCCCAGTAATCAAATGACCTCTTTTAGATATTTGTATTTATTGTAAACCAAAATATTTGAGAAAAAAAAATCATTCATTTTTCATCCAACTAAGGCTTGTTGATTCTACTCTGTGTCAGGTGTCAGGTAAGGTGCTAGGGTAAAACAAGATCACTCTCTGAACATTAATCCAGACTTTAGGTTGTGGCTTTGTATAATTATTCTCTGTTCTCAGTAAAAGATCAGTATAAATTAATCCTAGAAAACTGTATCCTAATCACTATCCTAAACACTTATATCCACTGCTATTAGACTAGAAGACATTTGAACTATTTGCACTCACAAACAGATAAACTAAGTCTCTACTTAAATTTTTTGTACATAGATGACTCAAATAAAAACCCTTCTTGCAAACTAAATATTCCTTAAAAACAGCTATCATTTTGGTTTACTGCCACTTGAAGAGATATGCCTATAGACCTTACCAGAAATGAGACACAAACTAAATCACAAATTAATAAAAATGTACAAATATTGCCTAGTTCTGAATGCACCATAATAATTATGGCCCAATTGTTCTTTAACTGTAATATTTATTAAATTGTATAATAAGCACTCAAAATCTTACTTTGGACATCTGTAACGGCGGATGTGTGTTAAATTAAATATCCTAAAATTCAAAATAATTGTTGTGGCTCTGATTATCTACAGACTCTGACAATAATTTTCAAGCCCATTCAGAAAAATATTTATAGAACCTTTTAGTCAATATTAGAAACAAGATAAAACAAGCATTAGCATTTTCAAGTATTAAAAGTACAGCAGAAGTACTAAAGAGTAGATAGTTTAGGGTTACTGTTTAATGCTCATTCTGTGCATTAAAAAGATACAATAAACTACTAATACATACTTGTCATTATTTTATAACAATCAGTTGCTAATTATTTTAATTAATGAAGTACTTACTCTCCAGCTTTATTCAGGATAGGTGCAGGACAAAGCATAGAATTAAGCTGCACACTTACTGGTTTTACACCTGAAAAATAAAATGTCATTGAATTAATAGTTTTCTGCATCTCACATAGTTTCATTAATAAAATAAAGAGTATTTCAAAATTAAGAGTTTAGGTGTGAAATATGAGGTATAGTAGCATTAAAAACTAATGAAAGAAGAAAAGAGATTAGAAATGGAAAAAGATTATATACCTCATTGATATAGAGTTTTGATAACTCATAAATAGATTTTTACTTAGACTAAAAAAATACAATTGTAACTCACATACAATTACAGATACTATAAAAAAATCATCTTTCCTGCTTCATATATTAGATTTTTAAGAATGTGTTTTTTTGAAAGCAGAATTCAGAAAGATGGGGAAAGGAAAATAAATGTCTAGTGGAAAATTAACTTATTCCACAAGTTTAACAAAATAGCTACATTTAATATTTTACTAAGCAATGTGTTTAAACTGCCCTTGTAATTTTAATAATATATGAGAAAATTATCTGCACTAGAAATATTCAGAGAAGTTAAATATTCAAATGGATCTTCTAGAATGTGAATGTTGAAAATACAATTTCAACTCCACCTTGTCTGATTGAGAATTTAATAAACTAAGTCTTATGTAGCTAAGTGAAAAATAAGTTTATAATATAATCATCTCAAATATACAAACAGAAGGTAAAGCTACCACTTATATACAAATGACTACTGAATTTATTGAATCCCATTATGAAGAGTTTGTTATGAGCACTATTGTGCCTTACCAGAATCATGATATTAATAGGAAATAGAGGAATTAATTATGGCATGTATCATATTGAGATCCTCACCACTTTAATTCAGCAAACACTACTGAACAATTACTGTGTGTGTGGCCAAAGCCGTACTAATTAGTGTTTAACACCATCAGCTAAATAGCAAAATCGTGGATGAGTCTTTCAAAAATAACTCTACCAGGGTTTAGAATTATAGAGTTACAGAGTCTGCCTCCCAACATAAATTTTTGGAAGACAATATAATCATCAATGAGGAAATACATTTTCCTAGAGGCCAAAAGCTGCTCAAAAAACTGAGATCCATTTAATATAATAATCATTGACAAATGATGCTGGGTGAGCATTGGAGATAAAAATATCTATAAGGTGAAATATCTATCTTCAAGAAATTGACAAATTTATGGAAAGTTAGATAAAGAAAACAAGGGACAAAAAAATTTTAAAAGGCATAGAGTAGTAGTCAGGTAACAAGATAATTACATTTTTAGGCAAGATTGTCCAATGTCTAGGAAAAGAAGCAATTCGATCAGATAGTCTATGTGGTTAGTCCATAGAGACTAGTGATGAAAACTGGGTTCAGATATTAGCTCTGCTCATTATTGGTTATTTCACTATGGGTAAGTTATTTTAATCCTCATCTGAATAATGAGGCTACTTAGGACAGTGCCCAGCATTTACTGAATTATGAACATATTATCTATATTATTATAGAGATTTCATTTCTTTTCTCTCTGGTTAAAAACTATAGCATAGCTGATTTTAGTCTGAAGAAAAGAGGGAAACACTCAAAGTGCATGTGCTGTGCAGAAGTTAAAGTCACATTGTGATTTCTGAAGACCTACTCATGGTGTATGTTTCATTGACAGTGTAGGTACAGAGGACACTGCCATTCCGACTCCCCAACATGAAGCCTCTTCCATTCAGAACAATCTGAAATTCCTCTAGAAGTAAAAGGAAAAATGAACATTTTAGTCATTGTTTTAAATTAAAGATTTTACTTTAAATAAATCAAGGTGCATAGATAAATTTATTCATACCCTTCAGTTAACCTATAATAATGAAGACATAAAACCTTATCCTTCCAACTGTGCTTTCTTTCTTTGGCCCTCTAGGTAAATTTATAGAAGACACTGCTCACCACCACTTAGGAATGCATTATTTTATTTTCTAATAAAGTATTTTCAAATAGTGACCAAAGTATTAGTATTAAATTGTAACATTCATTTCCGAATACCAGACAAAATTTCCCCATCTGTATTCTTATAAAAATACAAGAAAGAAGCCTCCTTATTTTTCTCCACTTTTAGGTATTAAGGTTTGGCTCTGTAGAGAAAATTAATTAATTATTCATGTTCTATGGTTCTTAGAAAAGTCATGTGTACTATTTTCTTTAATCTACCTCTCTCTCATACAGAGCTTTTCTTTAACAGCTTCTTTACCTCACTAATCCTGGTTTCATTTTCTATTGCTTACATATTTATAATTCCTCAGAAGTTATGTATTTTTAGGTTACTAATAATCTAGGCCAGGGACTATGAGTTGATTTAACTTCTTGTACCCTTTCTCTATAGCGGGAACAAGAAATAAATGTTAGAGCGTGAAAGACTATACTAAAAGAAAAGCTCAAAGACCAAATATATTGCTAGGCAATAAATGTTTGCTACTAGACTACAAGATGGTGTTATTAACTATTTTAACAATGACTAACTCTAATTAAAAAGGCACGATAAAATGTTAAAGGGTTTATCTGAGCAAACTACAATAAACTGCAATTCCAAGTCAGAAGTGGTTTAGGAACTTCATTAAAAGACCAAAAGGGGAAGTTGATATAGGCTGGACGCAGAAGTAAAGCAAAGAAAACATCTGGTTGGTTGCAGTTATACAGTGCCTTATTTGGTCTATCCCAGTGGAAAGTCCCTACTTATATAATTATAAATTTGTTGGTTGCTTTTGAGTGGTTGAGCCTAGCTTCTGTTTTTCATTAGTACATGCACTTACAAGAAAGAGCTCAAGTTAAGTTTTGCTTCAATTTGCAAATCAAGCTAAGTTTACTTGAGAGTCCTAACTGTCTTTGTTTTAGGGATTCTTCAGGCTTCATCTCCATTTTAATTCACTTTACACTCCCAGTCTTCCCAAACTTTTTCTATCATAATCTAATGCACATATAGTTATTAAATATGGAAGCAAAATCTGCCAGATCATTCTTCATTCAGTGAAGAAATTTTACTGATAGGTTACAATGAGAAACAGGTATCTGGGCATGCTGGCAAGTGTATATAATCCCAGCTACTTGGGAGCCTGAGGCAGGAGAATTGCAAAGTTGAGGCCAGCCTGGGCAACATAGTGAGCCCCTGTCTCAAAAAATTAATGAATAGATAAAGTACAGGTAAAACTTAAAATGTGACTCAGTAATAGTCTGGGCATTGTCAAAGATTTAATAGAATGTTTACTAATGGTAAATACTGGACCTGTCTCTGCTCAGTTTCTCCATTTGCAAATCATGGATTATAAAACTGTTAAAATTGTACTTATGGGAATTAGGTAAAAGTATACATCCAAAGAACACTGAATCCAGCAAAAAGTAGGAGAGCAATAAAGAACAGTTATCATTTCAATATTACTTTTTCATTAAATTTTCTATGTTATCTTTAGGAATTTATTAATCTATACCCTTAGAAAATATATACCTGCTTTGGGGTATTTGGATGCACTAATCATATCAAACATCTCAATGATCATTCATTAGGAATTCTAGAGATGCAGAGTTTAATTATGACCATGCCCAGTGAACTGGGAGGTTCTGTGGTAAATTACTTGATATATTTCTCAATCCTAGCACCAGCCTCAATATATTTCCTCTTCTAGAATCAGACCTTCTCTAGGCCAAAAAGGCTGGGAGATGTGAAACCTGAGTGTGCTCAGAGTACCAGCTGATGAAACCACCTGATTCCTTCCTTCCCCTCACAAGTCACTTCCTTATGTGCCTTGAGATGGCAGACACTGTACTTTGGCCAGGCCATCAAAGCAGAGAGCTCAAAGTCTACAGAGAGTGTTTGTATAATCAGATAAAAGAAAAGATTTCATATTTTATTTTATTTGCCATAGAAAAGGTCTCAACGTGAACTAAATATACAGAAGATTCTAAAAGCCTGTCACACAATATGCTCATTATTTAAAATAACACTCCAATCTTAAAAATTTGAATTTAAAATAGAAATATTTCAAGGAATTATTTAAAAATTCTTACACAAAAAAGATGCCAAAAAAGTTAATTTTGCCATTCTCTTCCAACAAGAGTTTCAAATCATATATTTTAGCTAGAAAAAAAATACAATTTCTTAACATGGTATTTTTAAATTCCAAACACTTACCCCCCACACAGACACTTGAGGGCCTCAATTCCAGGATTTCAGTACATGACTGAGCTAGTATCTAAAGAAGAAGAAAAGAAAAACAAACTGTAGAACTAAATAATAACATCCAGAGTGAATTATAAGATTACTAAGGACTTTGAGGTCCTCTCCTTAATTCAATAGGTGAAAATCAATTAACTATTACATTCACAGCCACCAGAGCCCCTAGGAAACTTCTGCATTGTCTCTCCAGGTATATTCTATAATCATGTATTGCAAGATCCTTATTTGATCAAAATAAAACCAGACGAGCACAAGTAAAGTAGGTGCTGCCTTTAATTTCCTTTGACCATAAAATCAATACTGACCCCCCATCAGACAAAAACAAGATGGCAAACCACATCTCCTGCTTAATAACGTTGACATGTTTTCTATTTATAAGTTCAATGTAACATCAATAAATAAGCACTTCTTTATTTGACAGTAGCATTTCCAGTCCATTTCTCTGGCTCAATTCCGATGGGTGCTAATTCTCCTCATGTGCATCAAACATTACACTTGCAGAACACAGACTCCTTGTATGAGCCAGATATTGTTCTCAAAAACACAGGCTCTGTAAGGCTCTGTATTAAAGCATTCCCAAACCACTGGAATAGAATGGCTCTCTCAGCTTGTAGAAATAGAAACTACCATACAAGGCACAAGGCTACAACCGAAAAACAATGATGAAATAAGCTGCTCCTAATGGTCACCACAATCCTGCCTTTATTTTTAGAACCGCTCTGCACTTCATTATCAAAGTCAGATGAATTCCAGATGATCTTTGAGTGGCATTCCTTTCTCGATTCAAGTTGAAGGCAGATGATGTGCAGTGGGTTTTAGCATTGCATGCTCATAACTAGAACAGGAAGGAAGGACTGCAGCAGGAAATGAAAATGCTTTCCGTGCTTTCATTAATAAACAAAGAAATACACATTTTCAGCACCTAAAATCAACTGTTGAAGAATGGAATTCTCATTGCTGAAGATGCATCTCTGAGAAGGGGGCAACGTTTGTACATTTAATGATTATTTTCAGTGAACAGAACTATTCACTTTGTGATCCAGGCCTTAGAGATAAGGAAACACACCTAGTAAGTGTGTATATGTGAGAAATACATCCAACACACTTGTGGATACAAGATTTGAGGACTACTAAAGGTTAATGTGTTGTATAAAATTTCAATGCATTATTTGTACAATTCAATAATCAGAATATTCTCAATAGTTCAGTGAGCATTATAAACACTAACTTCATGGAATTTTTTCATTTGGCAAGAGAGAAGGGGTAGAATAAAATAATAAAATAGAAAACATGTCAAGATTATTAAGCAGGAGATGTGATTTGCCATCTTGTTTTTGCCTGATGGGGGGTCAGTATTGATTTTATGGTATCAGAAAATTAATAGGCAGCACCTACTTTACTCATGCTCATCTGGTTTTATTTTAATCAAATAAGGATCCTACAATACACAATTATAGAATATAATGTATATTATGTTTATGCCTCCCCTATGGGTTAGTTTTTGGTTAGCAGCAAGGCCGGATGCAGCGTTAGGAGCTAGATGTGATGGCTCTGCCTACTGGCCTGTGAGATTACACGTTTGGCAGGAGATCAAAGGAGAGCCCACTGCTGTCCCTTCTCTGAAGCCCAACTCAAATGAAGTATCAGAATGGTGTTTCACCCTGCACAATCCAAGCATGTTCCAAATTAATTTGGATTGACTGGACCACTATTATAATGTGGTCAGGTTTCAGGGGTTCACCATAGACCAAACTTCTATATTAGACAAGTGGCACACATGCCCTCTGAAATAAGAACTGGCAAGTCTGTGGGGGATTGGAGAACCATGCCTAAGTCACAGGCCCAGTTCTGAGAATTCCATTAATTACAAAGAATTTTCTTATCTTACTTCTCTATTGGATCACAATCAGGTCTTTATGATTACTGATTAATAACCAGAGAAAGTGATGATACTGTCAAGGAACTATCCATAGCATAAAAAAAAAAAAAAATCTGACAACATGAGATGGTCTGAGTTTTGTGAGAACCTTGACTGATTTCTTCTTTATTAAAGATTTTAAAATATATAGAGAGTCATGTTTGATAGAAATTTTCTATGTTCCTGAACAAGTTTACATAATGAACACATTCTATAATAACAAATGTGGGCATACAAGAAGCAAAAGCCATACTATTATGGCATAAAAGTGCACACAATTGATATAGCTATAGCTCTTTTGCTCTGGCATTTAGGATAACATGGGTTTTCACTGCAAACACTTATAGTTGGGCTATATCTGAGACAAAAAGTTAACAAGGAATAAATAAAGATATGGTAATGGAATCAAGATATTATTAAGGACCTATGGTATCCTTGAAGTTTATGCTCAACTTGGAAAAAATATGTAGAAGCCAACCTCATGATCTGAAGATCAAGTATCCAGTTTAGAAAAACAAAACAAAGAAACAAACAAACAAACAAAAACTATCTACAACCAACATAAGCCAAGACAGATTTAAAGCTTCCTATTTTTTCCTGGTTTTTAAATGGCAATGGGAAGGACCCTATATGAAAACTTATTCCAGAAAAAAATAAATAAATACTTTCTTAATGAATAGTATTAGCACATATTTAAAAATCAGTCTGATACAAAATGTATAGAAAACATATGTTATAAATACCAACTGCTCAGTTAACATTTATTGAATGTGATTGAAAAGTAAGTGTGGAACTAGGAATAAAGTTCATGGGTGAAGTGTTTGCCTTGCATGCTCAATTAAGGTCCTTTTTTCCATCTAGTACCAGGAAGGAAGAAGAGAGAGAAAGATGCAAAGTTGTCTTAATAAAAAGTGTGAGCACTCTGACTATAAGAAAAACAAAATGGAATGTCTAACACTGAACAGTCAAGCATGTAAAAAACAAAAACAAAAACAAAAATGCAGAGCTTAATGAAGGGCTCCTTGAATTAATTGAACCACTTTTTCAATTACACACAATGAAAAGAAAACTGATTTTAATTATTTCAAATTTTGTTAATCAATAGTACCCATAAGGCATTGAACCAGGTGCAAAAGCAGTAAACAAAACAGAAAAAGAAATAATATAAGCAACATGAAACAAGCATAAATTAAAGTTCTTTATTGTATAAAACAAAGAAAAAAAAATGGGGGGCTTGTCTTAGATAGGATACATAAGAAGGTAGAAAGGTGGATCTATCTCCACCTTTGGGTGAATGAGCTCCAGGACCCAGAGTGAGAATCAACCTGAGAGCACAGCTGAACAGAGACAGTCCCCAGCATCTTTTTGACATGACCATGAACCACATTACTGTTTACCTTATGTTAAAAACAAATCTGTCTTTAACCCACACACTGCTTGGGAGAGCCCATTCACTCATCTGACTTCATAGTGACCCCAAAAATCTTTATTTCTGACACAGAAATCTCTCTCCTGAGCTGTCCATTCTCTATCCAACAACTCCTTTCAATACTGAGCTGGATGTCACTCACTCAGAATTATTTATTGCATGTTTATGTGTCCAGCATCCGGTTTGGTGCTATGGCTGCAGTAGCAAAGGGCATAGGTACTGTGTTTTCCATCCCTGCTTTCCATCTTGGGAATCAAACCCAGAGCTTTGTACATTCTAGGCAAGCACTTTACACTGAATTACATCTCTAGCATGCACAGTGTCTTTAGGGTACTCCTAGTATATCGGGAAGAAAAACTGTAATCAAATAAACACCTTCATCATACTCATAAGGTGAAATCTCAAACCGAAAGAAAGACTTTGAAGTGATAATATACTTCAATAAGAAAAGAGGGAGCCGGGAATGTAGCTCGGAGGTAGAGTACATGCCAAGCATCTGCAAGGCCCTGGATTTAGTCCCCAGCACTGCAAACAAACAAACCTGACTGAATTTGTTGGACTCTAAAACCTAAGTGAACTGGGAGGGTATGAGAGGAGCATTCCAGTGACAGCAAAAGGTGCAAACAAGCTGAAGTACTAAGGGAAGAAAGTGGAAGTTGAGGAGCACAGGGCTTGCTAAGAGATGAAGCTAGAGAGATGCCCAAGAGCCAAACCATGCCTTGTAAACCAGGCAAGCCTTTCAGTGTCTAGGATCACTACTGCTTGACTGCTTGACTGCTTGATGCTAAGGAAATTAGGGGTAGAACTGTGCTTTAGCTCATAGGTAGAGCACTTGCCTAGCATGTGCAAAGCCCTGATTCAATCCCCAGCACCACAGACAAAAAATAAAAACTTTTTTTAAAAGGTGGGGGATAATGGTATTATATTCCATTGAATGGTTTCCTCTGTTATTTTTTAACATCAACTATAAATAATAAGGATTTTCCCCAAAACAGATTATTTCCTTACATATAAATGCACATATGCTACCCAAGCTTCTTCAAAATTTTTACAGCTCTATGAAAATTCTAAATAGACACCTAATACTAACTTTGGGTATACAACACTATCAATGAAGGATCATTACAGAAATATACCAACATCCTAGGTATGTCCTTAACAGATAGAAACTGCTTATTTTTATGACATAGAGTGTATCAGAAAATATCAGCAATGATAATAATGAAGTCTAAAAAAGCAAGCATTTCATTCTTCTGACTCATTTAGTAGCTTTAAGCACTACAACAGTGCATCCCAAGTCTAAAAGATTCCAAGTTTATCTCATAAGGAAAAATCACTGAGCAGCACTGGTTTTAAAGGTCCCGATAAAATTAAACTTTAGTAATTGGCCATCCATGTGCATAAAATAAGTAGCTATTACATTTGGAAAAGATGTTTCTCGTATTTTTTTTCTTATCTTTCTTTTAGCTCTTGATATTCAGACATGTGATTTATATTTTCTCTATGGCTGCCAAACTTCCCATCCAAATATATTTTTCTCTAAGAGGTAATACTTCAACTAAAAACAACTGTTAGCTATAAGCATGTGTTTTGGTTGAGTTCATCCTTTAAAAATGCCTGAAGCTTCAAAATATGGGTTGCTCAACACAGCATGCATCACTCAGGCCCA